ATGTTTGAAGTTCAAATATCATACTGTAAACTGGGGTGTAGTGAAATGGCTTTCCATTTATTATTGGTATTCACACTCATTTTCACATCATTGGACAACTTTCTTATGAACATTACAGTTTGATGACTACTAAGTTACCCAAATACACCATTAGAAGTTGTCTCTGTGAGACTATCTCAATTGAGGAAGAGGCGAAAGTCCAGACTGACCTTTAGGTCCCCTGAAGGACCCACCTTAAAAGCCACATACTTTGAAGGATCCATCTTGGATGCGCTTAAAACTACCTGTCCCTTTTGGTAAACTAATGTGTTACCATGTATGGACAGACTATACATGACATGGCAAGTATTTTCTGAAGGCCATTACAGCCCAAAGCTAATCAAAAACGACAAAGCATATGTGTGTAGTATCCAATACTTATGCATTTGACTTATAACAGTTCAAAATAGCACTGTAGCAGCAAGACAGAGGGTCAGTGACCTTTGGGGAGGTGTTCTATGGGGAGAACAGTGATTGGTGATTATGTAGGGACTGAACCCTTCTATAGAATTTGACCTCTAACCCCTTGTTTTGTTACTTCAAGATAGTACTGTACCCTTATATGGGTTTGACCTTTTACTTTGCAGACACAAACCCTTCTATGGTACCTAACAGATACCTAAACATATCCTATATAAGCTATGTTTGATGTACAGAGAAACAGAGTGGTCATCGGGCTGGGTCACTCTCCAAGCTGCTGCAGAGCTTGTAATTGATGCTCAACTATTTGATTTAATAAACTTTTATGATCAAGAACAGTGTCAAGCGGGTTTCTTCTCAACAAATCATCGCAGCATTATTGTTCGGACACCACATGTGGAATAAATAAACCGCGTAAACTGCGTCATATACTGGTACCCGTATAATGTTACACATGTGCCGAGTTCAGTCCCGACCATGGCTACAAGGCCAGACAAATCAACACTGCATGACTACAGTTAGGCAACATAAGTTAAAGCGGCCAAAGAACTGCGTGTTCTTTCTAAGCGATTGTGTCTGTTGTGATCGTGTTAAGGATAGCTCCTAACGTTAGTATTTGCAATGTTGCGGCAGCTAACGTTAGCGTAAATTTGAGCCAAAACAACTGACGTTATTGAGCCATTACTCATATTAAAACATCATGTTGGCAACTATAACACTGCACGAATACTTTAACATAGTGAATGGTGCCAGTGCTATTCTCGATCAGTAATAGTTACCATTAACGTTAGTATGATCTGTTTTTACATCCTTAGTACAAGGTGTCTAGCTAGCTAGCTAGCTAAATTCAAACCAGAAATTTGAACTGAAATTTTTAATGCTTAGGTTAGCCCTCGAATTGGCCATGGATTAATTTGCTTAGCTTGTGGGTTACATCATTCGGTGAATATAAAAACTCTCATAAATGTCAGTACGCTATGTTACGCTAAGTTAACTTATAACGTTATATTATTGATAGCTTAGCTAGCAGCCAAGCTAACACTAACGATACCGTTCGCTTTAACGTATTTATGTATATAACCAGGAGTGTAAATCATTGGTAGTGACGAATTATTTGTTAAAGCTAATTGAGCAAACCACAACTGAGGTCCAGATTGGGGCCTACCTTCAATGCAGTCATGTTTAAAACTGCTGTTAATGGTAGCTAGCCATGTTAGCTAATTTAGCTACATAGCTAACTCAGCATCGTCGACAGAAACATTAACGTTACTCACCCTGAGCGTTGGCTGACATGATGCAAAGCGCGTCCCGCGTAGAGTCGGACTACAAATCTTGAGAGTGCATTTAATCTTTAGTTTTTCACCATTATCACGGCATAAAACGCGAAACTGGCAAGGGGACAGCTTCTATGCGGCAATGATTTCCAACCACGACCAGAATGCAAACATGGCAGACCTGTGTTTTCAGCGATGATGCATTGTGGGTGGGAAACACCAGCTCCCCCGGTCGGTTTGCTGCACAAAAGCGAGCTGCCTCTCAGGTCAGGTAAACACACTGGCCATTATCAATCTGACGTAAATCTGCCCTTCATAACTGCATTAAATTCACAGGTGCTTGTTTTTGTAAAATCTGTGTGTTGTACAATTGGATAGGTTATACAATTTTTTATATGTATATGTATTTATATATGTATAAACACACGCCTTGGCTTTCTTTACACCTCTTGGCTGAACTGGAAATACAATATTTTTCTACACATAGGCCTACAGTTAATGCCTTGCATTTTGGCATTACCTTTGTTGTAATTGTGACTACAGTTAGTGTCTTTATAAAAATCATAGCCTACCATTGAAGATAATAAAACTAACTGGTTCAATTCACAAATAATTAAACCTACTTGTGTAATCCTGGCTGTCTAGTGAGTCCACTGTATGAAAAGGTATGTTTTTCTTCTGTTTCTTCTGTCAAACTGAGAAGGTGGGTCATACAGATAAAACACTGATTCTCATATAATATTATTACAACACTATTATGACCTGATTTATAGGTGCATGCTTCATACACATTTTAGTGGGGACATTTTCACTTTACATCGACACATTTCAACTGAAATATCTAGTTCTACTTCATTCAGTGTTGAACAGTATTAGGTTGGGCTCATTACCAAGCTGGGTTAACTGGAACTGGTCAGGGTTCATAGATGAGACATACTGTTGGTTGTTCCCACAATGGGGTTTCTGGTCTGCTTTGTGTAGAGTCGTCTGGAGGTGCTATGCATTTGACACATCTGTATGGACTTCTTTTTCTGCACTTTAACCAAGCCCACCTTTCTTTACCATTGGAGACAAGTTTAATATCACAACATAGCTTTGCATTCATCAGACCCTGAAAATTGGTCAAAGTTTAAAATTATGACCGTTATTGGTGTCCAATTTTAGTACTACACCAAAGATGTCATATGTATAAATGCTTGCCCTTTTCAAATCTTGGTTTATTTGGCTGAACTTCAAAATGGTGCTTAATCTTTATTCAAGTCAGTCCTTTGATTTTTCTTCCCTTTAAGGTCAAAGCCTTTTTTTTTTAAATCTCTGACCATGTTTTTTTCTCTTTCGTAAGTCTGGGAGTCAAAGTTGTTGTCTGTCTACAGCTAGACTACAGCAGAATTCTAACCCCCAAATTCCTCCCGGGCTGACAAACGTCAACAAAGACCCAGAGAGACACCAAAGAGAGGTGAGCAGTGAACTGAAGCCTCATTGTATTGGCTCATTATGGGGTCCCGCAGTGAGGAAGAAGCTATTTTGTAGCACCACAAGGTCAATATCTGAAAGCCAGTGCAATGGAGGGGATCAGCCGTGAGATTTTTAATTTGAGAAAGTGTAAAGGGGCTTTCCTGAAAGACAGTCTGTGAATTCTAATGGACTGTAGGGATTGTACAGACAAGATGTTGAGTTGGCAAATGTTTTGCTTTTTGCTTTAAAAGGAATGCAAAAATGTAATTTATCCACAGTATTGCATGCTCCAAGACACTTGTATATCATTTGCAGTTACTGCTGCATTCAAGGTAATCAGGCCAATATTCATGTTAAAATAAAAAAATATGGCAAGGACCAGTGCTGCTGTTCCTTTACGATATGCTTTCTAAACTTTCTAAAAGCCTGATGTTTCAGCCTCCCAGACTTACATGGTTCATGTTGTTTGTACCTGCACGAGCTTCTGGATCCAGTTCTTCTCCTTGAAATGAATGCATGTGCAATTCATATCAATATGTATTCCATGCCCTATTAAATATTCACTCTAAACAGCTGTTTCCAAAGATGAATGAGATATGTTTATGCTCCCTGGATTTCACTTTCCCAGGAATTTTGATTTTACTTCCAAATAGATGTGAAAAGGGGAGCTGTCACACTCTATTATGGTGACCTCAATGATTCTGTGCCCTATCCAAATCCAGCGGTTTTCCATAACAATGCAAAATAAAGGGTGCAAAGCCGAAGGAGACAAAACTTCTATTTTCTATCCAAAGGACAGAGGTTCTTTACAACAAACTTGTCTGTATGCTGTGTGTATTCTTTGACAGAATTTAAATCCAACTTGGAAGTTGTTTTTGTGTGAGACAATAAGTTTTTGCTGTCGACTCATAAGGATCAGCAACTGTCTTGAGAAAGTGACAGTGGAGTTGTGGAGTGGGAGTGTAAAGGCCACTAATGTTATTTTGTAAATCAAAGAAATGTAATCATTTCATTTCTAAATAATTATGTAATGTTTTTAGCTGCAGACTGATTCTGTCTGAGACCTTCTGAGAAAGATTTGGTGTCCAAATTGGAGCAGTTTTTCGTAATGAGGGGAGGTCAAAGGAATGTGTTACTACATGGCCATACCCGATAAGGGAAGGGAAGATTTTTTGTGGATGTCTGTTTAAATCTCAAAAGGGAGACTGGGGTTTCAATCCCCTATCTGTCACTGGACACTGGTGAACTTCCATTCTGAGCATATTTTATGCAGAAAATCCATTTCTATTATTTTTGGAAACATCTGGATATTCATAAAGACAACTTAAATGCTAGGATTATTGCAAGAATTTCAGTCAACTGTATGTAGTCATGTGTAACAAAGTAGAGCATGTATTTACACAATGACTGTAGTAAATATCACTGGCAGTTGTAACTAGTGTCACAGATTTAAAACAAATGGCACCAGTCAAATGTAAAATCTGCCTGGTTACTTTATAACCTAAGGTCATACTTATATGCTTGTATATGGTATGTAATATGGTATATAATTAAAAAGCATATGGGAAAAGTCAAGTGAATCTAGACCATGTGATGTACAATTACCTGTATATTTATGCACATGTCTGAGGTAATAGTATGATATGTAATACTATCATGCTTCTGCAATTTTCCCATAGTGAATAGGCTGCAGTCAGTGACCCACATCTCAGTGCAATGAACTGCTTAACTCAGACTGTTGTTTTATTCAGTGCACTGTCAACAGAAGGGTTAGGAGGAGGGGGGGCGGGGTTTACACCTATCGGCCACCGCGATTGGATGCTGGATTCGGCTCATTTATCGCCATTGGATGCTCGCGCTGTCATTCTGAATCTGTTATTGCCACTTCCCGCGCCATTCGGCGTGCACGCGCAAGACAAGCAGGCACGTAACCGCTTGGAGACTGTCTGGAGTCTGTCTGAAATTGATAAAATTGGGAGATGGAGTTTTGCATGTCTTTGCACATATTCAAGGAAGCCGGCTATTGGAAATGGGATTTTCTTTGCTCTCTCCTCCTCAAACGCCTTCGCCCATGAGTCGCCACGCTCAGACAAAATATTTTTTTAGATAAACGCTGTGAAAGTTTTTTCTTCTGCAGTCTACCAGCAGACAGCTCTGCTGTACAGGTAGGTAAGACAAGCGTGGGATTGCAAGTTGCCTAATAGTGGATACTGCAGCATTACACGTTAGCCAAAAAAAAAAAAATGTTTGTTTGTGAGCATTGGCTGTGCGGTTTTTGGAAACAAAACGGTTTCCTATCTTAAAATTTAAATAATCCTGTTTTTTACCGACCATTTAACAGACCATAAGTAGCTCGATTATTTTTACTGTTAATATAAGATGTATGATGTGTTTTCTTATTTCTTATGAATCCACACAGCAGCTTTTTTGTTTTGGAGGCTTGACCTCACAACTCAGGAGGATGCGCAGGTGACGCACCTTTGCTGACGTGAGGTTGTTGATTAACCCCATGCGCGCTTAAGCTAGTAACGATACCTTACTCAGCAGACACCTGCGGGGAAAAGCCCCATCTTTTGAGGACTCCCCAATTATCTTTTTAACCCTTTCAGCTATACCACTGTAACAATTTATGATTACAAAGCACACAACAATACCTTTTCCAGGCACCCGTGCAGTTCACAAATCTATGCGACCCTGAAATGAGGCAGTATGAATTCTGTATGAAATGTGTTTTTTGTCCTATCCTTGTTTTATGCTCTGCAGGGGAGCAGCCCTCAGCTCAGCACCTGGAGGTCAAGAGGAGTGCACCATCCAGAAGGCAGCCTCCAACAGCTCACAAAGGTCGGGTTGCTGCACACATTGTATGTTGAGACAGAGTAGTGTGTTCACTTTTTAAGGGTTAGAGTCATGTAGGTTGATGCTGCATAGCTTTAGTAGGGGTTATCAGACCATTGCATTTATTCATTTGTCATGATTGCATCTATCTACAACAATTTTAGCCACTTGAACTCCTAAACTCCCCACAAGTAGCTTAAAAGTACAATGAAATATTTTTCCACACTGTCTGAGAGGATCACACAAAGTATATGACACAGATTTTATTCACACAATATTTAAATCTATCACTATAACACATTTCAAACTGCATTTTAAATCCTGCTGCATTATCACTTTAAATGGAAAATTCAAGATGTTTTGTGCAATTTAAATTTTTTTTTTTTACAGTCTCAGTGGTTGAGCCTGACATAGTGGAAATATTCTGATGTTCTGAACTTCACAAGAATTCAGTTCTAACGATGTTTACTTTGCTTAAGAGGTTAATTGTGATATTATTTCATACCCAAATTGATGAGCATTGCAAGAGTGTAAATTATGGATTTAACAAAAAACAAAGTGGAAGTCAAAGTAGGTTGTGCATGTGTAGCTGATTTGCTGCCTCAGACTCGTCTAGACGCTTTTGCTCTGTCACTGCAGTTGTCTGCAGACTGTGCGGTCATATGACTTGGGGCACCCTTCCTCCCTCCTCCCAGTGTCTGCTCTTTTTGGGCAAGATGGCTGCTATAGTATTGTTGTTACACATGACGTATATGAATTCATGTGAGCCGACAAAACTTGGCAAGGCCGGTGATCCATTCATACTTCAATGAAACAGACCACGGCTGCTCGAGCATGTATTGCACATAGACGGGACAGTGAATGTTAACTCCTTTAACAGGTTTTTCTAACCTAAATGTGTTGCGTTTAATCGATTGGATGATTATTAAACACTAGTAGCCATCCTTGTGTCAACGTAACCCAGTAATTGGACAGTTCCAATGTTATTATGTATTTCTTGACTTGTTGGAAGTTTAGTCCTTACTTGTTTCTCTACCAGCGCGCATGTGTCTGTTATTGCTTGGTAGCCATTTTGTCTGATTCATCACTGCCAATTTTTGCCATAGGATTCTAGGGTATCCCAAAATTTGTTGTGGGCAACCATAATGTGTCTGCATATTTTATATATGTCAGTGGCGGCTTCCCATTTTGAAATATTTGTCTTTTAAAAATAGGTATACATATCCTTCCGTGAAAAAACTTCTTGTGAGGATTCCATTGCATCTGTTAAATATACTTAGAGTATTGTAACCACCACACACAGTATCAGTAGGTATCTTTTAGATAATTACAATATCTTTCTAGGCAGCTTGAAAGGAATGAAAATAAAATCTATTACACGTAATCAGCATTTCATAACATGCGGTGAAGCACATTGTGAAGGCAACAATGTGAACACATTTATGCAATGTGAAATAATGTATGAATTAGCAACTGTGAAAAAAACCTTTTTCATATTTTTGTATAGATGATCATATTCGGTGGTTTTTGGAGTAATAACTGAAAAATCAAGTCAGTTAGAAGATAGTTACAGGCTACATTTTGTTATCACTTATTACAGCTTCGTTGTGCTGCAATAATAGCCAGTGAAACTTTTTTTATAAACTCTTTAATATCATTGTGTCTATCATAAAATGTGGTGTGCAAGATGAGCCTCTTATTTTCACATAAACGCAACTTGCCATTTAGTGGAGTGGCTGAAGTACAATGCCACTTAGCTAAAGTGAATAAAATATTTTATATAAACCTCCACATCTTTAAAAAGACAGGTGTTGCACCGAGCAGTCAGATGTGTTTTTAAAAAGTCAAAGCAGCTGTCATATTCATTTCACAGTTCACTTTATCAGTGAGGGACAGTACAATGCAATATTTAAGTTTGTCTTCTAAAAGTGCTTCAAGCTTCACTCTGACATTACAAGTTACTTTCACCCAGGAAGTCTATGATGTTTATCAGTTTGCCATATCAGTGACCAGCCTGGACAGATCTCTTCATTATCATCTACTTAGTGCATACTCGTCTGCTGTCAGACAGTTCCTTTAGTCTCGTCTTGTCATTTTGCTTAATTGTTTTTGAGTGCTTGTTGATTATGTTTTCACTGGAGCGTACAGCCACACTTAAAGCATGCAGTATCTTTGCAGGCCTGTCCCAAACCTGATCCAGTGTCTGACAAAAATGATTGGAATTGCAATTAGAAAGGTAAGAAATGAAAAGCAGAGTTTTAGGATCACGCTTTTATTATTGGTGTAACTTGTTGCAATTTTTAATTGCAGTTCTAAACAGGCATTTTCTGGCTACTCTGCTGAATTATATATCTATATAGATATATGTACAGTTGTTGCATACAGTATAGCAATTTATTCAATGTTGGGGATCCTGTGCTGTTATTTGTAATAGTGACCACAATGCTGAGTAAATGAGTATGTGTGTGCTTCCTGAATGCAGATTATCAATCAAGTGATGAATCACAAAATACTACCTGAAAACAATTCTTATTCCTAATTTATGTGTCTTAAAGTAGATATAATATATTTTTAAGAAAATATCATTACAATCAAGTATAGCTCATACATGTTTTAGAACAATAAAGTACTGTTACCAGTCATTATTTACTTTCAAATTGTTTTATAGCATTTATTAATATATTGTAGCGTTTTGACCCCATATTTAGCTTGAATGTGTTACAAGCCAAATTTCCAATGTTGTAAACACAAAAGTGAAAGCACTTCTTCATTTAATGCTTGCCCTTACTTTTCTTTCAGTTTTCTTTTCTTTTCTCAGTCTGTGCATACTGCATAATGTTTATGTTGACTATTACCAAGCCGCCCGCACAGTTGTTTGATGATTGTTTTCTTTTGTTTTCACAGGAGATCCATGGCGTCTTGCAGCCTTTCATGCCTTCATGTCTTCGACGCTGGAGTGTGTCCGCTCAAATGGTAAGATCTGTGTTGACCTGTTCATTAAAGCACATTTGGGCACGTTAAAAGTTGAGAAAAGCAATTCTAGGAATGTTTTAAGGTGCTGCAGTGAGTGAATGTGATTGCCTGAGGGAAATATCGGTCCGCTGCACAGACCAGTATTTACAGAGGCTGAGTTCTGGCTTGCAATGCCAAGTCTACATGATATGATGCTGAAAAATGGCTAATCAAATTCAGTGCTGTCATTCACTCGTCAGCAGCAATCATTTTTTATTAACACAGATTTGTGATCTCTTCATAAGATAATCATGGATATGGATCTCGTAACTTTCACTTGAGGCTTAGCCGGAAAATGCTGATGCAAGAAGGGCTCTGAATCTTCATCCTGTTTTTCCATTGGCTCATTGTCTCCACCCACAGTGCAGTCACGAGGTCTAACATCATGATGATGTCTTTAGAAAACAGGCTTTCATCTAGGCTCTAATGCTGCCTGAGCTATAATGAAAAGATTTTTTGGGTTATTTCTGTGCACATACAGAGTACAATTTCAGCATGTTTAAAAGCATTATTCTGTACAACAGCAGCACCTGCCATTGTCTGTTGTAAAATGTAAATGGTGGGTTGTTTATCTCACCAGCCTCTGCTACGTAATGACGCAGTTTCCTTTGACATTGGTGTGCCATATTTTAAATCAAGGCCTTCACTGTATTTTAAAGAGTCTCCTGGCAGCCTGCCAAACCATGGATCCAATTGCCTATTCCCTCTTAAAAGCACAACTGCACATCTGTGACCCTTAGCTGGTCTTAGCCATCGATATCTCAAAGCCAGCAGCGTCCATTTTAGGTTCAGGCAGTGGCGAAAGAGATGAACTATAATGTAGCTTGTGGAAAAGGAAATTTGAACTCACAGTGTAAATCCTGTTAGGAAATGGCTCCACTTTTGTGGAGTAAACAAACTTCAGTGGAGCAGATTTGAAAATAATATTGAACAAACAGGTCCATGTGAAAACGACCTCTTTTGAATTACAGTTTATGATTTAAATGTTTACTTTTTCTCAAGTGCAGCGCGATTCAATTTTTATTTGGACAAGCATTTGGATTTTGTCATACAGTTTCACATTTATTTTAATATTTTTTAAAGTATCACAAATGCTTCTGATGGACTATGATTTACTAAAAATGCACATCGATAAAGACTTTAATAAAATGTTAAATTACACTCGTATAATAATGTACTATAAAAACATAATATTAACAGTATAAAGCAAAATAATTTGCATTGAAAATGTGTGCGATGCACAGTTTGTTCTTTTTGTATTTTTCAGTGCAAAAATGATCCAAGCTACAGGTTCATCAAAAACACAAGGTGCTGAGTAAGTCATGCAATATGGTTTAATAAAAATATATTTTCTAAAGAAGAGATTTATTTGATAAGTTTTGATGATTTGATCTTGGAATTTGAAATTTCCCCAGCTGAAAACTGGAAGTGTTATTAGTTCTCACTGTAGTTAATTTGTGTTTTACTGTATTTATAAAACACTGACATCAAAAGAATGTACACATTATATAATAAGCGAGTCAGGCATTATAAAAATGATTTTATAAAAATATTTTTTTCAGTATTTCACCAGAGTAATTAACAACATTAAATTGTTAGTTCGCTATTTTGTCTGATTTGTACCATCATATTAAGCATATTGAAATGATTTCATTTAACAAATATTGCTAAATTATGCACCATGCCATTTTTTTTGTATAAAGCTAACTGTATACATACGTATATTAAAATCTAATTAATGGAATAAAATATTTTACACTTTATGATTATTACGCTTACTGAGAATTAAAGCAATTAAAGCGATATGTAATGCTTTATTATTTGTACGTTATATTGCATTCATTGAAAATTCTTGAAAAAGTCTTGAAAGTGATCTTTATATCTTTATAATAAAGTTGCACAGGATGTAACTGCAAATTTAAGATCCGCCCATTGCAAGATTTATTTAAAAGTACTGTATATTGTGATGTAGAACTGCTATCTTGACTGCTATCTTGAAAGGTTTTGGTGACCTTTACCCTCTTGAATACATGTTTTCGTCCACTGTTAAGACCTCGTGTGAAAGCCAGACTGTGTTCTGATGCCACGTAACACAACAGTGGCTGTCAGTAACATATTAAGCTGGGCCTCTGCCCTGTTGCCATGAAAATAGAGAGAGAAAAGGCACTTTAGGGTTGATGCATGTGTTGTGGTTTCATGAGGGAATGGAGGCAGGTCGGAATTATTTAGATTCTTTATGTTTTTGGATTGTTTTTTGTTTTGCAGTCTCAAGCCTGTTGACTTTTGTAGATGGTACAAAACAAGTGAAGTCTACGTCACCATATTGCAAGTTCCACTAATGCAAGCAGGCAGTATGGGCAATTTGTAGATGTAATCGTGCTCAAACTAAACTATTTCAACTGTTGTTAGAAATCCTGATTATATTATATAGTCATTCGTATCGTTGCTTCAGTTCACTTTTGATAATATGTTCTGTTTTTTTATTTGTTTAGACTAATATTTCTGCCGATCAGCTACAGTTGAGTGTGTCTCTTTTATTACTGTATTCATGATGCCCTAATAATAATAACATGAGCGACTTGTTTATCGGGTGGATTTAGCAAACTATCTTGTTCTCTGCTCAAACACAATTTCTGAGGTATGAAATTGATCTTGGGTTAACAATAAAAAAATTGCCTGGAGATAGCAGACCTTTGTTTATTGTTAACACAACCACAACACTCCACTCACTGACAGAGCAGAGCTTTTGAATTTCAGGTGCAGCCACAACATCATGTCACATGAATATTAGATCCTCATTAGAAGAAGGCTACCTTTCTGAAATTTCACAGTGACTATAATGTTAATGGAAGTTTTTAAACACTTTTTGGGGGCTTTGTGAAAGGTAAGTAAATAACTTGATGTCTTTCTCTTACGGTGTTGTGTGAATATTGTGCCTGCATTTGTTTTCCACTGTTTGTGACCCAGCCAGTCTTCAGATGTGCACATGCAGCATGTCCGTTCCCACTCAGCTGTGTAACATTGATGGCTTCAGCAGTATTTCCTGTTTTAATTTGACTGCAACTCCACCACTGACTTTCAAATGGAGTGTGCTCATCTATAACACCCTCATAAACGTTACAAAGAAGGCTGTAGGCCTGGGTGACCACTGTTTGACTGTAGTGCAGAGCTGCATGCACGCTTACACTGAACAGCAGCCTGAACAAGTACTTACATTCAATGAGAAACTTTTGGCCCGATATGAAGTTCTGCTATTTGACTTAACTCCTAATGTTCACTTAGTTCTCAACACATGCTGCTGGACTGAGGCCTTGCAAAGAGGAGACGTCCAGTCTAAGTTACCATATTCCTGCAAAACAGTTACATATAAGCATTTAACAAAGCAGACCTTGTATTGTTCAGTGTCTATTGTAATCTAATATATGTATGTTTGGACTTTATTGTCAACTAAAAGATTTTTTATGTTGGTTGTCGTTGGTAAGAATAGGTCAGTGTCGGGTCTACCTTGCTCTCAGCCACAGTTTTTATGCAGGCCAGTCCCTGCTCAGCTTTAGTATGGATAGTTAACCATAGAGTACATAGCGTCCTTGTAACCCAATAGTCCCTATATCTAGATTGACCAATACTGGATTTTAGAGCTGGATATTTAAGAGTACAAAAAACATTCTGATAATGATAAATCAGCAGGTATTTGTTGACTTCCTACACATTTTTCTATTATCAAAAGTATGGCACAGTTGAATAATAAAGTTATTGTTCTTACCAGGGTGATTACAAACATCTGTTCAGAGTGAATAGTAATGTAGCAGTGTGTAAATTTCTAGTCCGCTCATCTACGTGTATATCTTTCCAACCCTAAAGATGCTTGAATGAAAGTGTAACATGTTGAATTAACTTATATATTTTTATATACTCAAATTAACTAAATAGTTTAATCTCAGATGTATAAATGATGTTGCAGAGACTACTTTCAATGACGCAACAACCCTGTTTAGCGTCATTGAAGAGGGACAATCTACAGTTGTGGACTTGGTCTTGTGTAAAAGCAAACAACCCAGTATTTATGACATCCATACAAGGGCTTTGTGTGTAAAAGTTATTTCTCTCTGTCATACTCATTTCTTTCTCTTTATGTAATGAATATGTAAAAAAGTACTCAAACATACCACGGCATTAGAATTTCCCCTAGTTCAGGAGCTTTACTGAAAGTTTCCTTCCAAGTTAGACATGTGAGACTTGAGGGTGTGCTTGCATTTTTCCCTAATTGGGGCTTATTTTAACACACCTGGAATACCTACTTTCATTTTGCCATTTGACCTTTTGTGAATTAAGACAGCAAAGGCAGAGTTGGAGCTCGTCAACCCTGCGGTACATCATAGTGAGGGAAGGCTGTGCCATGACTAATTAGTAAATCTCACTCCTCTCAAAGGTGAAAAAAATGATTTCCTTTGCAGGGAGGTTGGGGGTTGATGAGTAAATACCCACCTGCACCAAGTTGCAGTAACCTAATAAGTCTCCCTGGACTTTAAAAGTGAATATTTCATATTTCACTGATCTCTAACAGCTTTTCTGCATGTCTCATATTTGACTCTCCGTAAGCCATCTGAAGATGGGTAAAAGGGAAACAGACTGCAGGGTCTCTTTCCTGTCACACAATGGCGTGGAAAGGTCAGGCCTAATGAAGTCGGGGGTGTGACCCCTAGTATTCAGTGACTTTGCATGGGCCCCCATCCTACCGCTGCAACCATGCCAGCTAATCCCTTTTTGATCCTAATTGATAGGCATTAACATGATCCTTATCCAGGAGCTGTGTTTTGTCTTCCACAGCCCTTCTCTCTGGGTGTCAGTGACACAAAGTGTGAAAGCGTTAAACCAAATGTGAAATTGATATTTTTCATGTTTGTGTGCTTAAAATCTGGCTGTGTTTCTAAACACTCACACAAAAGTGCTCAATGTTCACC